AAAGAATTTTTTCCCTCCCTTTTACAGTTTATCAATGATTTCAAGTGTTGCAGGAAAAAAATAAAATGGACAAAGTCATACATTTTCTTTGTATTATTTTAAAGTTCAGCCACATTCTGCCTTTTAGCTTGAGTGAATTGCATTATACAAACACGGTCAGCAAAATGTAGCCTGAGCACCAATAGACAGCCTGCAATATTAACCTGGAAGATTTTTCTCTACACTTTCAACTCAGAAATGCTTTACAATAAAAGACTTAGCCATAATTTCACGCAAGTATGAAAATTTACTTTCTCTTCTATTGAAGCTTACTTTTAACATATATGGCAGTTTTGCTTTAGCAGAACCCCTATGGCTGCAACATTTGCTTTCAGCTTTTGTTCTTCATTGTAAAATGAAATTATTTCTTGTCGGCTTATCAAGGATGTTTTCCTTTCTGATTTTCTTTAATGAATTTGGAAGACTATTTTATACTGCTGCATTCTCAAAACAAATGTTTAAGTAAGCATTTAAGAGCATCCCAAGGATGGTGATAATTATCACAAACAATATTCTCTTCCTCCTTTACTCAGTCTATAAAACACTACAGAGAGGAAGTTCTGCACAGTATTTTGTGGAATTACATGGGCTAAATTCCTACTCACTGAAAGCAAGGGTTCAGATTTGCTTCTCAAAGTATGTTGTTTATGAAGTATACTAGTATATGCTTACATTTTGAGTTAGAGATGAAAGAGATTTAATTTCAGTAAAAAATAATTTGCTTTGGTCTGGATTTGAAGAAGCTTGTGGTGTAAAGACCTACTGCATTAGACTCTTACCTTAGACCAAATTGAGAAGTTCTCTGTTTATTTCCCAGCTTCTTACTCTTAACCTCCCAACCAACTTTGGAAAGATAACATAGCATGCTTAGCAGCTAATTAGGGGCATTGGTGTGAAATGAGAGAACAGAAGAAGGTGGTTTTGGTCAAGAAGGTGACATGATATCCTTCTTTCTGTTGTGTCCTTCCTTCTCCTTCTCAGAGTAGAAGAAAGGCCATTTGTATGATTTTCCCAGTATCAGCACTTGCTTTATCACCACACTGACTCTGTCATCTTTCATCCTTAATCCAGTTTGCTGCTTCTAGATATTTTTTAAAAGGAAACTAGAGCATTTTCTCCAGTTCTATTAATTACATGGGAGAATTGGCTCACAGACCTTTACTATTTGTAAATCCCCTCTATCTGGAACCTAAGACTGTACTAACAACAGAAGCAAGTCATAGTGTCTTTCTTTTTCATCAGTTAGTTGATATAGCTATCACAAGTGTGAAACAGAAAACAAGAGCAGAAAGAATTTAGGTATTAGTAGAGATCAGTTGTACACATGTTTTGTATTGAAATGTAGTTATTAGAGCTATAAAACCCCTCTCAGCTGTATATCTTTCAAATAACATAGCAGCATCTCTAATCTGATTTTCAAGTAGATCTGCTAAACATTCCCCAATCTTTTGAGTCACAGGCATGAACAGAGATAGTTTCTCAAAGCAAAAATCTTCAAAAAAATTGAAAACTTGCATATAGCAACAGTCATAGTGCATCTGATGAACAGTGTGTTTTAAGTTCAGGTAAAAGGCTTTTTCAGAATTTAAATGAAAAAAATCCTAGGTTCACTTTAATCCCTTGGCCTAGAACTGATTTATAGACTTCAGTTCTCATTATTACACAGTTCCTCTAGAATAGAATTACATAAACTGAAAAGTCTTTTCGGAGGAATTAAAATTAAAAAACTCAGTAACAGAACCAAAGGTATTATGTTTTTTCTGCCCATTCTGTGCTAATCAGTGTGAAAATTGTTCGTCTGCATCAAAGAAAGTAACAAGAAGGAACAGAAGACTTTTTACTCAGGACTAAGTATAAGATCTGTTTTTCATAAAGTTGAATATTTTCAGACTGAGTTTATCTATGGTATTTGCAAGTCCTTAGAGTTGGTGGGAAGCCTGTACTAATTCTGTAAGGCACAAACAGGAGCAGACAGGCTCTATTTGGGGCAGGTTTTCCCTATTAATAGAATTATGTAGCTTGGTCATTCTTTAACCAGTGAAAGATACTAGACACTTGCATAAGACAAATAAATAACATGGAGCACTCAATGCCAAATTAAATGCTAAGCACAAGTTTTTTAAATCCTTTTGTGCCTTTTAAAATATAATTGTTACATGCTGATTAATGCATCTGGTCATTCATTGCATAAAATTGTGTTGTAAATTCCTGTTTTTAGTGTCTAGAACTGATACAACTTTAATTTGGATGTCAGAAACATGTCCATATATCTGGAGTAAAAGACCATCTTGTAAAAGAATGCATGCTAAAAAAATTCAGAAGTCTGTGGGAACAAAAAAATAGGAAATTCTCGACAATGGTAAATAGAAATACATTTTCTGTATGGTTGGAAGTTTTTCCACTCAAGTGAAGGTATACCATTAAATAGAAAACAAATCATCAAGGCAGCCCAATTCTTGTACTTCCTAAGGAATTTCAAATGCCTAACTTCACTGTCAGTGAACTGTCAGTGCATACTTCCTGATACATACAGGAGATTGGTTCTTTCTTCTGAATCTGTCAAGAAACTGCTTCAGAAAGTTTCTAGATTCCTGTCAGTAACATAAATCCCTCAAAGTATAAACATACATGTACATTTTGAGTGTAAAAAAAAAACATGGAAAAAACAGAAGAATTTTCAGTGACTGCTTCCTGTTGAGTAACTTTATTCTTTGCTCTAATCCAGTTTTACCTATGTCAGCTGGAAAAGGCAAAAGAAGTAACTGTTTTGCTTCTAAAAGATTATTGGTTATTCTAAATGACATATTAAGTCATATATCTTCAACACTTATGTTAATTTTCAAATGCTGCTGCTAAAAAAAAAATGTCTGAATTTATAGTTCAGCTATATTGAAATCTGGAAAAGATCAGAATAGGTTTTCAATTTTTTTTTTTCATATAATGGGCAATTATTATTTCCGAATATGGGTATATACATATATTTGGATTATATTTGAAGCTGTAATCTGGAAATCTGTTCCTTTGTCACAAAAAACAGTGATGAAAGTTTTCCTAATATATTAGAATACATAGTTGGGTCAATTGCTGAGGTGAGTAGCTCGAGAGAGGACGCCTCGCAACACCGGACCGGGGGGGGGAGATCAGCACCCAGGAGCCTCAACTCAGAGCGACGAGAGCCACCGAGGGAGCCTCAAGTCCTCGACAGGACCTGCCCAGGAGCCGGCAGCTCAGCTGACGAGAGAGAGCAGCTGACTCACACGGGGCGGAGCCAGGAGCAACGGCGGCACCAGCCCTGGCTGGGTAAAAACCTGCCCCAGGGAGGGCGAGTGATCAGGTGTGCGGTGAGCTAGTTTGAGCGGCCAGGTGAGCACCCGTCGTATGATCAGGGCCCGGTCTGGGAGCTCTGCTCTGGTTGCCCCGGCTGCGGCCAGCATAGGCACCCACAGAGAGCCGATGAGAGGGGAGGCTGCAGTGCAGAGCTTGGAGTGTAGAGAGTGCCTGCACTGGTCTGGTGAGGGAATGGTGCACAATGGGCAGAGCTGCACCCGGTGCTCCCTGGTGGAGGTTCTCCTGCAGCAGGGGCTGAGCTGCGGGATGCTGTCAATAGACTGCAGGATGTCAGGGAAGCTGAGAGGAAGCAGGAATGCTTGCTCCTGGCCCAAACTGTGCAGGGGCCTCGAGCTTCACCTTTAGCTCATGAAGGAAAGAAGGAGGCCGTTAACCCAGGGAACCTGGGAACTAGTAACAAAAAAAAAAAAAAAACAACAAAAAAAAAAAAGAAGGAAAAGGACAACCAAAAGCAAGGGGCTTCCCCCTAAATCCCCTGTCCCACGCAGAACCACTTTGCTGTCCTGCAGGGGGCTAATGAGGAAGCACACTCGAGCCAGAAACAGCCGGCTGATACACTGGTAAAGAAGATCTCTACTGATGCTGCTAGAAAAAAGCGGCGGGTCGTAGTAGTAGGGGACTCTACACTGAAAGGGGCAGAAGCACTCCTCTGTCGGCCTGACCCGGTCTCAAGGGAGGTGTGCTGCCTAGCAGGGGCACGGGTCAGGGATGTGGCAGAGAGGCTGCCTGCTCTAGTAAGTCCCACGGACTATTACCCACTCCTGGTGATCCATGTGGGTGCTAGGGATATAGATAGTAGTAGCCTGGGGAACATAAAGGACTACAGAGCCCTGGGGGAGGTGGTTAGGGGCTCTGGAGCTCAGGTGGTCTTTTCATCAATTCTCCAGGGTACAGGGGAGGACCTAAAAAAAGCTAGGAGGATTAGCCAGGTTAATAACTGGTTAAAAGGGTGGTGTCATAGTCAGGGGTTTGGGTGTCTTGAACATGGGACCTAAGCTTGTAGGCCAGGTCTAGTGGGGGCTGGTGGAGCTGGTCTGATAAAGAAGGGAAAGAGCAGTTTTGGTAGGAGGCTTGCCAGACTGGTCAAGGAGGCTTTAAACTAGGTGTGTTGGGGGATGGGGAGCATCATTCCATTCCAACACACCCAGTCAGTTGCCAGAACCTATAATAAATGCTTGGAGCAATGTAGAGATATCCCAGCCACTCCAGCCAATGAGCCAGCTTGAGTTGGAGCTCAGCTCAGATGCCTCTATACAAATGCCCGTAGCATGGGGAACAAACAAGAGGAATTAGAGATGTGTGCACGTCAACGGGGGTATGATATAATAGGCATCACAGAAACATGGTGGGATGGCTCCTATGACTGGAGTGTTGGAATGGAAGGTTACAGGCTTTTTAGAAAAGACAGGCCTGGCAGGCAGGGAGGGGGAGTTGCCCTTTATGTTAGGGATAGGCTGGAGAGTATGGAATTCTGTCTGGGGACAGGTGAGCAGTCCACAGAGAGTTTGTGGGTCAGGGTTAAAGGGAATATAGCTATGGGAGACGTTACTGTGGGGATCTGTTACAGACAGCCTGAACAAGGAGAACCTGTGGATGAAGCACTCCATAGAGAGATAGGAAAAGCCTCACACTCGCAGGCCCTTGTTCTCATGGGGGACTTCAACCACCCTGACATCTCTTGGGAGGACGGTACGGCTCGGCACAAGCAATCCAGGAGGTTCCTCGATTGTGTAGAAGACAACTTCCTTCTGCAAGTGATAAAGGAGCTGACAAGGAGAGGTGCCGTGCTTGACCTCGTGCTCACCGACAGGGAAGGGCTGGTTGGAAATGTGACGCTCCAGGGCAGCCATGGATGCAGCGATCACGAGATGGTCGAATTTGAGATCCTCAGGACAGTGAGAAGAGCGTGCAGCAAGCTCACTGCCCTGGAGTTCAAGAGAGCAGACTTTGGCCTCTTCGGGACCCTGCTTAGTAAGGTTCCATGGGATATAGCCCTAGAGGGCAGAGGGGCCCAAGACTCTTGGTTGATATTCAAGGATCACCTGCTGCAAGCTCAGGAGTATTGCATCCTATCCAGAAGGAAGTGCAGCAGGAGGGCCAGAAGACCTCCTTGGATGGATAAGGAGCTGCTGAGGAAAATTCAAATGAAAAAAGAGGCTTATAATAAGTGGAAGCAAGGACAGGTGGCCTGGGAAGAGTACAGGGATGTTGTCCGAGTAGCTAGGGACCAGCTTAGGAAAGCTAAGGCTCAGTTAGAATTAAACTTAGCTAGAGATATTAAAGGTAACAGGAAGGGATTCTACAGGTACATAGCAAATAAAAAACAGACTAGGGAGAATGTAGACCCCCTCTGGAAGCTCTCGGGAGAACTGGCTACACGGGATTTGGAGAAGGCTGAGGTTCTGAATGACTTCTTTGCCTCAGTCTTCACTGGCAAATGCTCTGACCAAACCACCCAAGTCTTGAAAGGCAGATGCAGCGACTGTGAGAATGAAGACCTTGCACCCACTGTAGGAGAGGAACTGGTTCGAGACCATCTTAAAAATCTGAATGTGCACAAGTCCATGGGTCCTGATGAGATCCATTCGCGGGTCTTGAAGGAGCTGGCAAATGAAGTTGCTAATCCACTGGCCATCATATTTGATAAATCATGGCAGTCAGGTGAAGTTCCCGATGACTGGAAAAAGGGAAATATAACCCCCATTTTCAAGAAGGGGAAAATGGCTGACCTGGGGAATTACAGACCAGTCAGTCTCACCTCTGTGCCTGGCAAAATCTTGGAGCAGATTCTCCTGGAAGGCATGCTAAGGTACATGAAAATCAACAAGGTGCTTGGTGAGAGCCAGCATGGCTTCACTAAGGGGAAATCCTGCCTAACCAATTTGATGGCCTTCTATGATGGCGCTACAGAACTGATGGACAGGGGTAGAGCAGTTGATGTCATCTACCTGGACTTGTGCAAAGCATTCAACACCGTCCCACATGACATCCTTGTCTCTAAATTGGAGCGACATCAATTTGATGGATGGACCACTCGGTGGATAAAGCACTGGCTGGATGGCTGCACGCAAAGAGTTGTCGTCAATGGCTCAATGTCCGGCTGGAGACCAGTAACGAGTGGTGTCCCTCAGGGATTGTTGTTGGGACCGGTCTTGTTCAACATCTTTGTCGCTGACATGGACAGTGCCATTGAGTGCTCCTTCAGCAAGTTTGCCGATGACACCAAGCTGTGTGGTTTGGTTGATACCCTGGAGGGAAGGAATGCCATCCGGAGGGGCCTTGACACGCTTGTGAGGTGGGCTGATGCCAACCATATGAAGTTTAGCCGTGCCAAGTGCAAGGTCCTACACCTGGGTCAGAGCAGTCCCAGGCACAGCTACAGGTCAGGCAGAGAAGAGATTCAGAGCAGCCCTGCGGAGAAGGACTTGGGGGTGCTGGTCAATGAGAAAATGAACATGAGCTGGCAGTGTGCGCTTGCAGCCCAGAAAGCCAACCACATTCTGGGCTGCATCAAAAGGAGCGTGACCAGCAGGTCGAAGGAGGTGATCCTGCCCCTCTACTCTGCTCTTGTGAGACCTCACTTGGAGTATTGTGTGCAGTTCTGGTGTCTTCAACATCAAAAGGACATGGAACTGTTGGAACAAGTCCAGAGGAGGGCCACGAGGATGATCAGGGGACTGGAGCACTTCCCGTATGAATACAGGCTGAGGAAGTTGCGTCTGTTCAGCCTGGAGAAGGGAGGGCTGCGTGGAGACCTCATAGCAGCCTTCCAGTATCTGAAGGGGGCCTATAGGGATGCTGGAGAGGGACTCTTCATTAGAGATTGTAGTGGCAGGACAAGGGGTAACGGGTTAAAACTTATACAGGGGAAGTTTAGGTTGGATATAAGAAGGAAATTCCTGTTAGGGTGGTGAGGCACTGGAATGTATTGCCCAGGGAGGTTGTGAATGCTCCATCCCTGGCAGTGTTCATGGCCAGGTTGGATGAGGCCTTGTGTGATGTGATTTAGTGTAAGGTGTCCCTGCCCATGGCAGGGGGGTTGGAACTAGATCTTAAGGTCCTTTCCAACCCTAACGATTCTACGATTCTATTTTAAAGAAGCTACTGAAGTTGGTATTCAGTTGTATACAACATACTGAACAAAACAGCAAAACAAAATTTGCTCTAGTTGCAGATTGCCATTTCTTATGGTTGATTTCAAGACTGAGGTAGCAGTCAAGTGTTAAACTCATGTTAGTTTTCTATTTTTAAACAGCAAATGAAACCTAACTGAAAATTTTATTGTTTTCATGTCTGCTTCCTACAGGCATTAGCTCAGGAAGTGATAAAGCTGGCACAATTACCGATGGCCTTTTCAGTGACTAATGCCAAGTGATTTCCTGGCTAGTTTTAGACAATAGATTAGGAAATAAGCCTCGTGACCAGGAAACTCTAATGATTTTTATAGATATTTTCTTACATCTCGCTAGCCTGAAACAATAGATGCAACAAAGTACCTTTCAGTTCATGACTGCAATGCCTGTAACTAGTGATGGACAAGCAGTTAAATCTCTGAAGTACTCTTTTTAGGTCAGTTTCTTTTCTTATATTGATGTCAGACTGGTGTCAACTATTTTTCATCAGTCCTGCTTACACAAAACATTCATTTTTTTCTTTAAAGTACACTAATATGTTTGAATGCCATACAAAATTTACTGCACTAATCATATGCGCAGTGGTATCTGTAAACATTTATACATCTGTCGTGGTTTAAACCCAGTCAGGCAACTTGTCCACTCACTCCCAGTGACTGGTGCCGGGCTGACAACAATCGAGGCACCCCCCCCCCCCCCCAGCTGGGGCTCTCCCCTTCCCCGCTCCCAGAGGAACGGGGAGGAGGATCGAAAGGGTGCAACTCCTACGGGTTGAGACAAGAACAGTCCAGCAACCAATGTACAACACAAATCACCACCGCTACTGCCAACGACAACAATGATAAGAGAAAATAACAAGGGAAGAGAATATGATACCACTGGCCAAGAAACGAGTCCCACCCAGAAGCCCGTGTCCTTCTGGGTAACTCCCAGTTACCCCCCACCCCGGGCATGACGTGCTGTGGTATGGAATACCTCCCTGGCTAGCCCGGGTCAGGCGCCCCGTCTCTGCTTCCTCACAGCTTCCCCTCCTCCCTGGCAGAGCATGAGGCTCACAAAGTCCTTGGTCAGGGTAAACATCACTTAGCAGCAACTGAAAACATCGGTTTCACCAGCACTGTTCCCAGGCTGGAAGTCAAAACACAGCACTGCACCAGCTACCACGAAGGAGAAACATGACTGCTACTGCTGAACCCAGAACAACATCCCACAAAACCAATTTTCATAATTGAAGATTTTCAAGAAAAGTGTTTTGGGGTTTATTTTGTTGTTCTTGCAGACAAACATTTGTTTCTTCCTTCACTTCAGGTTGGAAAAATGAAAGTTGATTAACAGGCAAGGAAGCATCCATTTGCTTCAGTGGGTTTGATGACAGCGGGGGCCAGAATATCAGACCATGTCTCTTAAACTTCAAAGGATCTTGTAGCTGCTTCAGTTCTTAACAGAAGAGAGGGAATAGACCCGAGAGAAATTTATTAAAACATTTGTAAAATATTTTTGTATACGCAAGTCATAATTTACTGGTATTTGCTTTAAATGCAATTTTAAATCATTTGTACATTTCTTGGTGGTGTAACATGCTTTATTTAAACTTCTGAGTTGTGTACATTGACAAATAGAGGAGAAAAACTTTATAAATACCTGAGGTCTCCTGACCTTATATAAGCAAGTGAATATCTGCTGACTAGAATGGGAAGAGGAATTCAGAGAAGCTTCTTCTGTGAAGAGATATAAGAAGAATTGGTAAAACTGAGGTCTGAATTGCACAGAAGTTAAAGAATGAATTATAACTGAGAACAGACAAGAAAAGAAAATTGCAAGTGAAATGAAGAAACAGAAAGAAACTCTATTTCCCTTATATGGAATGAAAGGCTCCATATTGAGAAAATGTGGTTAGGCTCCCTTGCCTCAGTTTCCCTAAGAAAGTTTTTTGTGGCACACAATGAGCTTAATTGTTATTTGGAAAGTACTCTGAAGTGTTTTTGTTGAATGGTTCATGTTGAAATGCAAAATAGTGTACCTTTTGAACAGCTGCGTTGTCTTTACAAAGGGACAAAGGGAGGTTAGAGGATTATTTTCTTCTAAGCAAACTATGCTGAGGTCTTTTTGTATAATCTGCTCAAACTCAAGAGTGTTGCTGCTGCACAACTAGCCCTATTTGGAGTTTTCAGAGATCTGATTGAGGAGGAAATGGCAGAAATCAGTATGAACAAAAAAGGGCATAAGTGGTCTTTTATCAGTTTTTCTCCCTTACTCTGTGTGACCACCATTCCTAAAATCCATAGCTATAAAAGAAGTAGAGAGTGTTCAGATCAAAAATTTAGACCTAAAGCCAAATTAGAGAAGAAATAAAAATGCCATTTTATTCACAGAGAACTGAACCCTCAGATCAAGAGTATCCCTTCAGGAAACATCTAAGCAGCTGTTTGTTTGTACTGTTGATTTTGAACTTGGCACGTGGGATTTCTGTACAATTAAATTCTATTTTCCCAGAGAATGCATATTTTTATATGTATTATATATATGCATGCTATTATTTTTTCTTGAAACCATAGTGTTTATGACTGCATATATTACAGCTT